GGGCGCCGGCGGGACATTTGTTTCTTAACGTGATTGATAAACCGGTCGGGGTAGTTACGTTTCTTCAAAGCCTCCCGCACATGGCTAAGTTCTTGATCGCTAAGTGTTGAGTTAGATGGGACTGTTTCTGAACGATGAAGGCAACGATCTTACAACTGAGCTTTTGTGTTGAGTAGGGTGATGAGAGTGGTAGTCAAGAAAGTTTTGTCTTTCACATGGTTTACCATATACGGATGTCTCCATCTTAAAGAAAGATTCACTAGTTCTATGGACACGTACATAAAAAAACGGCAAGGTACTATCGGTTTCATGTTCGCAGGTGAACTGAATTGAGGGGTGGACACTATTCAAATTGCGGTGAAAATCGGTTACGTTCTCTCTGTTAACTATTACAAAAGTGTCATCGACATAGCGACGGTAGAACTTCACGGGGAAATCAATGCCAGACATTACCTTTTCCTCAACATATATATTCCATGACGAGATTCGAGACGGTTACGGAAACTGGACTCCCCATAGGGCATCCGCTGACCTGATGAAATATGTCCCCATTAAAACAAAAATTACACTGGTTGAGACAAAAACGCAAAAGGAGTATAACGTCTTCAACAAGGAGGGTTGTGCGAGTGGACAACGACTGGTCTGCCAACAACCGGTCACGGGCGACATCAACCGCCAGGGTGTTGGGGACATTCGTAAATAATGAAATCACATCAACGGATACCATAGCCTCGTGCGGTAGCAGGGTCTGAGCGCGTATGAGTTCAACAAAGTCACGGGAATTCCGGACGCTAAACTCATTGTTTCCCGTAAGAGGGCTCAGAATCATAACCAGATATTTGGAAAGGCTGTAAGTGGATGAACCAATAACATATACAATCGGGCGTACGGGGCAACCCGGTTTGTGAATTTTGGGGAGTCCATACATCTTGGGTGTCGCGGCGTCAAGGGAGAAGAGACGACGGTATAGGTCGTCACTGATGCGTCCTTTCTTTTTCAGCTCTCGAAGGTGGTCAACTAACTCTCCTTCGGACTCAGCAGCGGGGATCTCTTGATAGCCTCACGGAATAGCGACTGTCATTTATAACTTCATACATCTTCTTCATGTAGTCATCCCTATCAAGCACAACGGTTCCTTTTCCTTTGTCGGCCTTTCAAATCATGATGGAGCTGTCTGACTTCAACTCATTAAGAGCAATGCGTTCTTGTTGATCTAAATTTGACCCGGCCGGTTTCACATTATTCGAAACACTGACAACGCGGCTTCTCGCGAGATTTACCCCTGTGACATCGTGCACATGTCTGAATTTCTCTTCAATTTCAATTATGAAGTCAGGTTTTGGAACGTACCGTGGAGCAAGGGCATAGTCCAGTCCTTTGGATAGCAGAAATTGCAAGCCAGGGTTGGTAATAGTAACATAAAATACGTACGGCAGAACTCCCTGCCATAAATAAAATGATTTGGCTAACGCCAATTTAACGCGAAATAGGTGCAAAGAGTTTTGCGATAGGAAGCGTAAACCGAAAAAAAGGAAAAAAAAAAAGAAAGAAAGACTGAAGGAAAGGAGAAATAAAAAAAAATCTGGTGACGTGGCCAAAAAAAAAATTCTGTTCATGTGATTTTTCTTGTTACGTGACCAAACAAAAAAAATAAAAAAATAAACGAAATAAAAAAAAGAACACGAGAAAAAAAACCAGCCCGGTTTCGAAGCTAGGCCCGCTTGATCGTGAAACTAGCGCGCTGTCCGTTGCGCCAACATAACTTTTTTTTTTCTTTCTTTATTGCAAGTTGCGCCAACATAACTCCGCCTGTAATGCTCACGCATTCTCCCATCATAGGAGAAAGCTTAGTTGCCTTCGTAGTTTTTCATGCATGTGTTATTTTTATTTGTGGCAAGAGTTCACGTCCAGAATGCTTTTAGAGTTTTCGAGCAAAACGAGTTTTCTTCGTGCGAGTCACCTTCTAGAACCAGTAGACCGCACTGGGTCGTCCGGCTAATCAAGCAGCTTTTTTCAAATTCTCTAAAGTGCCCGTCCTCGGATCTGAGGTCGCCGTTTGACAAGCTTAACTTTTTTCCACCTTTTAGCCGGAACCCCCACCGCAGCTTTGTTCCGTCCCCACTCCCTCTCGAGAAGATGGCTCGCCCCGAGGCTAATCCCATTCTCTTGACGCTCTTTCCACCCAACGATGGCCCTTTCCCTCCCCGTCCCCTAGCTTCGGGAGAGAAGGTTCTTCTCTGTAGAACGTCCCGTTTGTACAGCGGCCTTTAAAGTTCAGATTGTCCTGTCTGTATCGTCCCTTTTTTGTCTCCACTTTTTAATGTTGAAAAAGTATCAACACGGTAAAATAGTACAATTTCCGGGATTTTATTTTCATTCCCAAGTGTGCTGCGGGAGCCGCGCCACGGAGCCCCGGTCGTTTCCGCTCTTTGTTATCGCTAGGATTTGACAGTGCTCAATCACAATGCAAGACACGCACAGAGCCACGCTCGCTTTTGCAATGCGCCGCGTAATAATGATATCTCTTGTGGAAACGTGCGTACATCCGTCTTGCGCAGTGTTAGCTCAATGGCAGCACTTTCTGTAAAGGCGGATTCACACCGGGGATGTAAGCAGTCGAGCGATCCAACTAAATCGCATCGCAAAAAAAAAAATAAAATAAAAGTAATTAGTTGGTCAATTTGGCGTGCGCGATGAGCGAGTCCAACGCCTTCGTTGGCGATTCGCTTCTCAAAAACTCTCGCTCCGAACGCCGTTGGTTGGCTCGGCCTCTCCGCGACTAGAGTGCATCGTAAAAAGTCGGGTCAGCAAGCGACTGCTCAAAACCCGTCACGTTTTGCCCGCGATGGTCGCTTTTGCGATGAAAGTTATGGCGCGACTAGATCGCATCGCCGGTGTGAACGCGCCATAATGTCGAACCAGTCTCACGGCGCGCCCCGATATTGGCTTGTGTACCTACGCGCGAGTGCAACCTCTGGCACAATTTATTTGCGTTTGCAAAGCCTGCTCCAGCCGCGTCAAAACATTCAGCCAACCTTTGGACTGCAGAAATCAAGAGACACCAAAAATAGGATAAAGTTGCCAGCCGAATAAAACTTGATTTCTATTTAATTAAGATGAAGACCACCCGCGTACATCAAATATTTCATCAGCCGAACTCCAAGGCAGTAAGCCTAGTTCTGGCACTTGTTTGGCAACTTTGGCCCGCAGCTGCCAGATCACAGCCAAACTATCGGGAAGCGAAGCCTAACTTGGGCTCTCGTTTGGCGACTTGGGCCCAAAGATGCCAGATCTCAACCGAACTACAAGGTAGTAAGCCTAACTCTGGCACATTTGTGACGATTTTGGCCCGAGTGTGCCAAGTGACAGCCGAACTGTCAAAAAGTGAAGCCTAACTTTGGCATAAGTTTGGCGATTTTGGCCCGAAAATGCCAAAGCTCTGCCGAACTACAAGGTAGTAAGCCTAACTCTGGCACATCTCTGGCGATTTTGGCCCGAATGTGCCAGGTGACAGCCGAACTGCCAAAAAGTGAAGCCTAACTTTGGCATTAGTTCGGCGATTTTGGCCCAAAAATGCCAAAGCTCTGCCGAACTACAAGGTAGTAAGCCTAACTCTGGCAAATCTGTGGCGATTTTGGCCCGAATGTGCCAGGTGATAGCCGAACTATCGAAAAGTGAAGCCTAACTTTGGCATTAGTTTGGCGATTTTGGCCCAAAAATGCCAAAGATCTGCCGAACTACCGGGCAGTAAGCCTAAATCTGGCATTTTTTAGGCGATTTGGGCCCGAAGATGCCAGACGACAGCCGAACTACCCGGCGGCGAAGCCTAAGTTTGGCACTTGTTTGGCGAATTAGGGCCAAGATACCCAGACTGTTGCCAAGGGAGGTCAGGTTTGGCACTACTTTGGCTTCTTCGGGCTTTTTAATGCCCTAAACTGCCAGACGCAAGCCAAGTTTTGGCCCAGAACTCGGTGCTGCCTGGGTGTCGGTTACCTCCCGTTAAAAGACTCGCTTAACGGTCTTATTTTATTTTTCAAGGAGGAGGAGAAAGGACAAAATACGAAAGGTTGGTTACTTCGTGCTGGTGCAGAGAAATTAGCTTGTTCATTCTCGTTGTTTCTCACAAAGTACGTTACCTTTTTACTGAAGGCTTGGACTGTGTGCTACGTGATTTTTAGGTTCTCGTAATACAGGGATGGCCAGATACACATAATCCAGTTAATTAACGCTACGGAGCAAAATCAAAAGGGCTTCGAAAGCCATTATAGCAAATGCCACGTGACCTTGTACAGCTTAGCACGCAGCGGTGTATTTCCCCTGATTATCTGTGATCCGTTACCCTACGTTACATTTTAGCTAAAACTCCTCCTGCAGATTCCCAAGACGGATACCAATTAAGTATAGTAAAAAGAAATCACTGAGTTAGTCAGAGCTGGAAGGAATAACCCGAGATGAAACCTTATGGAATGATCATTTTCGCTGAATACGCTTTTCCACTAAGCTAATGCCCGTGCCACACGGGCAACTCGAATGCCATTTACAACGGATGACATTCGCGTGATCGACGAATCGGCTCGCGATCTGTCGCGCGTGGAACGCCCCACGCTCGGAGTGTCGCGCGCTGATTGGCCGATCGTTCAAGTGTCATTCGTTGTAAATGGCATTCGAGTTGCCCGTGTGACTCTGAGCTAGCAACTAAGGCTTGTAAGCGAGTTTCTTACACGAGGTTTTGTTAAATCTTTGGGCGAAACGTCAGTTGTTACACTGAGGCTTCTATAAGTCTTATAAAAACGTCTACTACACTAAGGCTTCCAGAAGGTCTGTCGTCAAGAAGCAGTGCCTGTCATACTCATCTGCGTTAACCTAGAGCTCGTGGTTTTGCTTCCCGCTACCGGAATCTTTTATTTTTTTTTTTACATTTTTTTAATTTTTAGATTTCTTCACGCGTATGCTTATTCACCTGCGGACCACACCGGCATATCCGCCGAAGAACCACTCACATCCCCGTAGTTGATCCAGTGACGTCCCGTGCACCAACTGCCAGCGGTGGGTCGTGCGTTCTCGGTCAGGTCGAATGACAGTGTGACCAGGCTGAGCGAGAAGCACATCTTGGAGGTGCTGCTGAGGTCATCTTCCTCTCTGACCATCTCCATCCAGAACAGCGCCGTTTTCTAAAAAGAGGAAAAGAACGCTCAAGAGTATTTCACATGACCCTGATACAGTCAAGCACTTCGGTTTGCTAGCAGGCGCGTTTGCCCGTAGAAGTAAAGGGCACTGGGCAGACGCAGAAACTATTTTTAGACAGGTGTAGCATATACACGTGCTACGTTGCGCAACCGACGCCACAGCCATGACCTTAGCTTGACGGCGAAACCGAGTGAGTCGCTGCTGAGCGCGTGCGGCGAGCTCTCATGATGACTCCACGATGTGCATTTCGCACCATAAGATTTTAGGTCTTGGCAATCTTGATTCAAACTGTGAACGACGAGCATTCGCCGTGAACGATGAGTTCGAGTATGGCGTCGTGCAACGAATACCATCACCTATGCACGTCCCGCTCATGACGCCCCTTCTTCTGGATTCGCGACTCCGGTTGTACTGTTTCCTCTTTACAAATGCATGTTCAGAACAAAATGGTCAACCAAGTTAGCCTTTATTGTTGCATTGTTTGCCAAATGTTCACATATTCATTGGAAGCAACTTTACAGCTTCTGCAACTTGTGGAATTCGCAGTTGCCATACGCCCTGCGAGTTTGCTCGTTCTTCTAAGATTTGTGGCAGTTCTAAGGTTTCTAATCAATCTCTTGGCCGAGTTTCAGCTTTACGTGGTAGTGTCGTACTCACAATGGGGAGGCTGGGAAGCGGTTCACCTTCTCCTACGTAGATTGACGGGTACACTAGCTTGCAGAACTGTTCTTCTTCGTGATAGTGGGTTTCCAGCACAAAGATGTCCACCAGCCTGCACAGAGAAAGACGCTACGTTTATAGCCTCAACGGCACGGTCATCTATACGCAGAGTCATTGAGGGTGGTAGCCCGAGCCTCGCACACATGTAAGACAATAGACCCATTTTTGAAGGTACTTTAAGCAACACTGGCACCGCCGTATTTTGGACATCAGTTTCTGCGCGAGGCGTGTGGTTGTATTCAAGTTCACGCCGAGCGCTGGCGCAGTACTAGTGTCGAATAGACTGAGATCCGAGTACCCGCCGAACTCTGATGCAGCAATAATGTTCAATGCATGCTCAAATTGCATGCCCAAAATATGGCGGCCTTGGAGCAGCTACTGGAGGCCGTGCAGTCTTGAAAATGGACAACTGAAATCCACAGATCCTTTACAATAGCCAAGTGTCGTACTAAGTCTGGAGTTCGCTTAGTTTCAACTTTGCATGGTGTGAGTTGAAGGTAAATTATAACTTACATGACGAGCTTTTTGATCAGCTTGATGAAAGTCCTGTCTGAGTTCTGCTTCGGTATCAGGTAGCCTCCATAGATAAGGGCTGGCTTGGGAGCTCCTAAAGCTTGCAGAGCCGCCTGGAACGCCTGCATTGATAGCCATTAGCGAGCACCGGGGTTACTCATAAGTTGCGCTCATGCCCCCGACCCTACTACTATATACAATGAAAAACTGAAGAAGGGGAGGACTTGAAAGCGTGCGGTCACGTCAGAGCGCAGAGCTCTGATTGGAAAGATAGTTGGTACACGTAGAGGCTGCCTGCCTTTGCCTCTACCTATGGCCTCCCTCCAATCAGAGCAAACAAGAACGTCGTCTGCTCCTCGCGCAGTATCTGGCGTTCCTAACAAACACTTCGTGGGATTTGCTACGACATAAAACGGGAGCGAGGAGCGCCCTTCCGCTCAAGTTTTCTCCCGGCCGATGCGGGTTCCCGGAAGTCATAATACATTTATTCAACTCCGAATGCGGCAAGCGGAAACCGTATAATATCACCGGTGACGTCATATCACTAAAAAAAAAATTATTTTGGTGGTTTTGAACAAGAATTCTGGTTGGTTTGGACCACCCTAAACAGAGCCGTAAGACAACGGACCAGCAGAAGGAACTTTTACCTGTCCGCTATCATTCCCTGTCAGACGTCCTTCTTTCAGTACCCCTTGTCTGTTCTACTTCTCCGTTGTCTCTTGACGTCGTCTTTTCCGGTTAGTTTTTTGTCAGAGGCGTGCTCACCTTGATCATGCTGATGACATGCCCGATGGACGGGTTGACCAGCGGCTGTTCCGTGAACGCGATGCCGTTCAGCTCGTTCTTGGACAGCCAGCTGGCGAGGTCCGAGGCGATCTGCACCAGAGCTCCCGGGTCCTTCTGGGCAGCCTGGGTCGCCTCATGGATCAGCTGTCCGCTCAGGGCCACCACGAACTTGGCGGTGACGAAGCGCTCGCGCAAGGCCATGAACTCCTGGTATGCTATTTAGTATTGCCAAATCGGAAAATGAAAGTGATGCCGAAACGAACATTCAAATACATTCGCGGTATTCAGTGCGGTGACGTGAGTGGCAGTCAGGCTTGCCAGTCGAGCAGGCAGCCTGAAACATTGACTACGCCGCGCATTTGTTTCGTACTGCTGCGCTGGTGCTGGAGCGAGCTTCCCAAGCATTCATTTAACACCGTGAAACTGCTAGGAATCAGTTGGGAACAAACCCTACAGCCCAAAGAGTTGCACCCCTGTCTGCTGCTGGCGTTACTTTTTCATTGCTGTAAGTGGAGACATTTAGTCTGAAAAAAAAAATACCGGTGAGGGCCGTAATGTAAATTTAACAAGTTTGTGAAGAAAATATTATCTTGTCCTAATATTTGAGGTACTATTTTAGCGATGTTTTTTTGGGTGTTTAGGGAATTTTGAGGCCAACCGGGGATCTTGAAGAAAACTCCGGTGTACCCCTTTAAAGGGAAGCTGAAGCACTTCTAAAGAAAACTGAGCAGACCTCTATAGATTTTGGTCCCGTGAATTCAGTTATTGCACTAATCTTGGTCTGAAGTAAACGTAAACCGTATTTATTTTGACAACATTCCGAGGACACCTAAGCACTTCTTATGAGTTGTGAATGCAAAAGCATGAACGTCGTTCTTCCGCTCCCTTAGTTCGTCTGGGGCGTACTGGCGTGGACGGCCACGTTTCGCTAAAGCCCCTCTATCCTGGGAAAAGTGGCGCCATTCATTGTTGTAGAAATGCTCGAGGCACGTGCTGCGCGCCACCTCTGGGAAATTCATGGCGTCTGAAATCTAGCTCAGTGCTGCGCTGTGCCGCCATGATGTTCCCAAGGGCTGCACGTTGCATGTGCCTTATGCATCGAGGAACCTTGCGCTACTTTTGACCCCCCCCCCCCCCCCCCCCCCCCCCCGATGGAGGGGCTTTACGTTTCGCTACTGCAGAAATAGCGGCCGACGGCCGAGCGCGCGCTCTCATGAAGCTCTCGTGAAGAGCACGTAATATGTCGTCCGCGGAGAGATGACGGACGTTTGCCCGCTATTGGCAACTTGAGCGATCGATAGCGTCACTGTGGTCGGTCTGCCCCGATTGGCCAAACGCTGACTATGACGTCAGCAAAGAATTTCTCATAGACGAAAATAAGAATGATCTAAGAACTTCAATTTCGATGGTGTTTGAAGCGTTTCTTCCAGAGCCGTGTCCAGAGCGCGATGATTTCAAGCTTCCACCATGCTAAAATAAACACCATCGAACTTCTTGTTCACAAAGTAATGACGTCACGAAAGGTAAACATTAGAGGGCGCCACCACAACATCTCGCCGCCAATACTCCGTCTCGCTCCAAGTTCGACCGACTGCATCGTCACGGCGTTCGTCGTCTTTCTGAGCTCGCTATCACCGACTAAACCAGTCGCGCACAGTGAAGGCGCTGTGATCCTACGCTTTTCTTTTTTCTGCGCATGATTGTTTTATCCGGTGATACCCAAGACCATGGAGAATAGAAGGGTAGGAGAGGGCATGACGTCAGCCGCGTAGCCTCCACAAGGCATGCTCCCTTGACGCCTCGCCTCTTTCGCATTTTCCTCCTTACACTCACCACATCACGTGACCGTAGCTAGCCTTCGTCTAGCTATGGTGTACTAGAACACACCACAGCCTAGCCTTTGATGTCATAAAACCTACCGGACGGAGCGCGCGCAAGCCTGCAAGGAATCCTCCTACAATCAACCATCCGTCTCGCACGTGACATGCCACGCGCACCAATCGCCAGACAGATCTGCGGTCACGCTGGGCACAAAATCGTTTAAACTTTTTATGACTAGGCTTCACCAATATTGCAACGTGCCCCCTCCTAGTACTTCTAACCTCCTTGCCCAAGACAGACTTCTGACACCGCTTGATTGGCTCCATCAAATCGTAGCGCCGGATTCGGAAGGACTTATTATTAGAACTTAGTTTAAAGCAAGCATTCTTCTAGCTTGGCCCAACCCAATACGATTTGATCACAAGGGGGCTCGCACTTCGAAGCCATTCGTTTTCGGTGCCCTTTTTAATGCGATAGCATTAACTGGGGGGGGGGGGGGGGGGGTCTTGAAGCCGGCGTTGTCTGTAACCGTCTGTAGCAGCGAAATGGCAGTTAGATTCCCATTGGCAAAAAAGCACAGTAACGCAGATGCTTCGTCACGGAAGCCATGGAGCCGACGGGGTTCGCCGTGCCTGCGCAGTGGAGCGTGATGTCACCGCCGGAGCGCCGTGTGAAAAAGGTAGATGTGGCGCGCTGCTTGTAGGAATGCGCTGCGTGTAGGAATGCTTTCGCATTCCTACTCATAAACAGACTTAAGTGTCTTTAACGTACGCTATACTGTTTCTGAAAAGAAGCTCGGTATAGTTTCGGTACCATATTTCGTGACTCCCTGTACCATGCCTAAAGCCACTGCCTATGCGGAGCGCAAGTTCGTCTGTTTCTTGCGCAGGGGCTGCAGTGGCGTAAGTACGCCGAACTTTGATTGGCTCCATTCGGAACGATATTGAGTAGACCTCAGAACAGCTAGCGTCGAGGTCTACCCACTATCCTTCGAATCCGAGCCAATCAGGGCTCTGCAGTCTGACGTCACTGCAACCCTTGTGCAAGAAGCAGACGAACTTGCGCTCCGCATAGTCACTGACGGCTTAAGAAACGCCGGAAGCGGGCTATTATGATCGCGCTTCTTGCCTGCATGCCGCAGTCTCATTGGCAGCGAGGGATAATAGAGGATTTTAGAACGGCGAGACTCAGAGCGTAAATACACCCCAAAAAATGAAAAAAAAACTCCCTAATAAAGATTATTCATTGGCGGCCATAGCTGAGTCTAGTGCCACTAAATAGGCTACACTTCAGAGTAACGACAGTTAACCATATTGTGGCTTAAAATCATGGTTGCTAGTTATCTGATGCTTTATCTGAAATCACAGGAAACGCTTTTCCGTCCTCCACACATGTTTAAATAGTTCGCGGCAAAGCAATATTACATGAGCTTCCTAACACCGAATCTAATACTGAGGATGTCGCACCTTTGAGTCATGACGATCGGTAGTTGCGTCTGCTCTGCACAAGCACCAAAGTGGCGGCGCCCAGAACAATGTCGGGGAACGGTGTGCCGATACTCCAAGCGCAGCTAATTTAGTGGCTCTAGTGGAGTCCGTGGCTGCTGAGCGCGTGTGACGGCGAACTTCAGCAGTTTTTTTTGCAACGTGCATTCCACACCATCGAGATTGCCAGTGTTAGAAGCTTTGAAATCTGAGCTCGTTCTGAGGATGCGCAGTGAACAGTGCTTCCCCCTCGTGACGTCATTACCTTGCGAACCACAAGTTCGATGGTGTTTGTAATTAGCATGGTGGAAGCTTGAAATCATTGCGCTTTCAAATCAACACTGCCAACACCGTCAAAACTGAAGTTTGTTCATTCCTCTCACTTCCGTCGATGAGAGATCCTTTGCTGACGTCATAGTCAGCATTTGGCCAATCGTGACAGGCCGACCACTGGGACGCTTTCGATCGCTTACGTCGCCAATCAGATGTTTGGGACTTGCCACGCTTCGTATAAGGCACCGTATTATACACAAGCGTTTTTCTTGCGATCGTGAATACACGATAAAGGATGTGCGGTCTCTCACCGGAGGAGTGAAGGAACCGGGGATGGAAGGAGCGCGTCTTGCGGTCCATGTCCAGCTCCTGGTAGACCAGGTGCGTGCAGAGCTCGATCGGGACGTCGGCCGGCTTGGTCGCGTTCTTGGACAGCACGCACACCAGGTGATTCGTCATCTCTGCGAGCAAGCAGCGGTGACCACGCTGGTGGTAACTTGCAACTTATGAATACGGCGAGTCTATACCCCCTTCATTGGGAGTTCCTCAAGTTAGGTATTTATGCACACCTAGTCTTTATAATGCATTAGTGCCCTGATTCATGCGCTGACCTTGGACTGGTTGGAGCACACCTATTCAAAGTTTCCAACGTCACCACGGGAGGGCGCCACAACCACTCGTATTAAAAAAAAGGTCTACCTGGGCCTTATCGTGAAAAAAACAATATTTAAAGCTTTTTATTTTGCACGAACAATGTTAGTCAAATCCGAAGAGCTCATGGCTATCTTCTCTTTGTTTTAGACAGTCGCGTGTTATGGCGACATAGAACTTGAAGGTTTTTAGAGGTAAAAGTGCCAAAAGTAGATCTACAGTAACAAAACATTAAAAAAAAAATAGTTTCAAGGGACACCAAGACCACGGTGTAAGATAATAGGGAGTTTTAGTAAACCTTGTTTCCCCCTCCACTAACCCTCCGCTACGAAAAAACCGCCACTGCGCTTGCGTGCCGATGGCCTTGACTGTAGAGTTGCAGGTAGCGGAGGGGCTTAGCGGAGAGGGGAACACGGTCTACTAAAACTCAATAATACTCCTCAGGTGAGGACAGGGCGCTCCTCGCGACGTGCCCGATAAAGTTCGCTCTTCACTCTCTCTCTTTCTCTCTCCCTCACTACGGTTTCAAGCGGCGCCGGCAGGTGACTCGTCGACCCGCGGGCACGTACAGGACGGCTCGTGCCGCCTCATGCTGCACACGCGCAGAGCTTCAGCGAGGTTGTCGCACGTGAAGAAAGACCACGGTGTACCGGGGTGTCATGGCAACGAGATAATTTTTTTCGATCTCACACAGTTTCGCCGTTTGGCCGCCGGCGACACTGTCAGCCGCGGGCACTGTGGCAGCGGAGTGATGCAGCCTTTCGGATGCCCGTCGAACGAACACTATCTGATTCCGCGCGCCGCGTGTTCAGCCCCGCCGTGTCCTCACCTGAAGAGTGTATCTTAAACCGTGACCAACACCCGAAAAAAGAAGTTGATAAACATTTACGCGCACTAGTGAAACAACCTCTGTGACATCCAGAACATTCCAAAGCCTTTTCAAAATAAGCTTTTTATTTTTTTTTATTTTTATTTTTTAGCAATGCAATTTGTTTTGTTATATTACGGTTTTCTAGAACGTTCGAGACAATATTAAAGTTTCGGTGTTAGGGCCGTCAGTTGTTCTTTATCATCATCAACCCTTGATCGAGGAACACAAAAAGGACAGCACACACTTTGTGTTCAGTTCTTTTATGTGTTCCTCGGTCTCAAGATGCCACAGTGGTTAAAGTGCACAAGCTCGGTTGTGCTTTAACTCTTAATTCACAACTAAGCAACCTTAGGCAAGCTGTTTCTTACACGCCTTTGAGTAGTTTGATGATGAACTAAAACCTGCGCCCTGTGCACATATATGAACTAGATACGCTATCAGTGTGAAGATGGGAAGAGAGGGAGGAGGAGGAGGGAGAATAATAATCATTTGAGCGATTGCCCATAATTGAACACTAGAACGTGACAGTATTGGCAGTAGTAATTCTGACGTAAGCTCTTACACTCCAAGAAACTCCCTATACGTGTGCACTTACCCTCCAAACCCCTCATACGCCTTTTTACCAGCAAGGCAAAAAGGCACATGTTCATGAGCGCACAAAATAAGCAGACGATGACGATGATGATGATTGTGGTAAAAAGGCATGATACCAATCGTGTTTCTCGTTTGTGTCAGTGGCTAGATGCGAGAATCAATAGATGGTGCTCTGAATGTTGCGCGGTGCAGCATACGCTGGGAAGATTTTGCGCTTGTTTCACAATGTAAGTGGAAATAGAAAGCGCCGCTTCATCACGTGACTATACGTAACTGTTCGACTACTTACGGCGATACTTGACGCTATTCGCAGTCTGCCGTTGGGTCATGAAACTAGATGGCGAGGAGGGGCTTGTTGCAGAATGGCTTATGCGGATGATATCTCTTTCTGCGAGAAAATAATTAGATGAACCGGCGTGTGTTGGAAAAACCCATTGTATAGTATAGAGTGCCTCACCAACTATCGTTGCTCAGCGTCTTACCTCGGGACATGGCCCAGACTCTTTCAGGCTTCGGATTTTATTAGTTAAAATTACAGCTAGAAAAATTTGGTGGAGTAGACCCTAAGCAAAATGTAAAACACCAAAGCGCTAAGGCGCGTGCTGAGAACCTTAGGCTATGGTTGGTGATAGGTTAGGAACCAAACAGATACTAAAGGCTCGTTCACACATCTGCAACCGAGTACGACCGAGAGAGACAGGACCGGTTTTTAAGGCTCTTGCGACGTCTTAGGACCGGGTGCGCTGCTGCGGGGCTGGTCCTAAGACGTCGTAAGAGGCTTAAAAACCGGTCTTGTCTCTCTCGGTCGTACTCGGTTGTAAATGTGTGAACGAGCCTTTAGCCTCCAGCAAGCGTTCTTTGCCTTCCGTACGACGAAGTGTACACCAAGGGTAGAAAGTTTGCGCTCGAGGCGGACCACGTACTAGGTTTCTAAGGGGATATTGAACCAGACATTGCAAGGTCCACAAAAGGGGCGCACGATCTTTCCACGAGCCAGCAGCCGCCGGTGTGCGCCAGCACACGCAACGAAATTGGCGTCATAGGCCTCCATTCGCGATTAAGATGACAGTAAAACGTACGGTGTCCGGGCAAAAGGAGAGTAAAGACAGGCTTTTCAACCCCACAAGTGAAAGCTATGTGCTTGTTAGACCAATTAATCACCCACCTTTTACTCCTGACCCCATTGTGGAGATGAAAAGCCTGTCTTTATTTTGCTTTTTACCGGAGTCCACAAATTTCACTGTCATCTTAAGTGTGAACGAGGGACTATGACGTCAATTTCGTTGGGCGTGCCCGCACACAGTGGCGGTTGGTGGCTCGTGGAAAGATCGTACGCCACTTATTATGGACACTGGAATGTTTGGTTCAGGATCTTTTTCACCTGCCGCGAGTTGGAGTTAATGCAGATAGTTGGGCTAGTTGGTACTGGGAACTTGACGTCATGATGGCGCTTAAGACGAGGACAAAAGGGAGACAGACAACACGGAGCGCTACTTCAACTGTTTATTTTTGAACAATAGGGGGGGACGTATATGCACTCACACCGCTTCACCTCAGCCAATCCCCGGGCCTCACCGTCGCTCACAAAAACGCTATCTCTTTGTCTAACAGGTCAATGGAGGCAATGCTGACAAACTGTGCTCCAGACTGTTTTATCAAGTCTGCTTCTATTATTTCCCTGGCCGTCTTATCCTTGTGCGCGATTCTAGCCAGACTATCATTACACATTTCTGAAATATGTTTATTAAAATAAGTTACTCATTATAGCGGCACTGTTCTCTAACGCTCTGCATGCGGAAATACAGTGTGTCCGGCAAGAAGAAACGTACCTTTTTTTTCGTATCAAAAAAACAAAATATACTAAGGATTGTCCAAAGTCCAGACTTTGCTAGGACGTAGCACTTGCAGTTTATAGGAGGGCCAAACTCCCAAAACATATTCTTAGTAGAAAAACAATGAACACGAAAAGTTAATTTCTTGAGCAAGAGCACCTTGTCAGGCTGGCTACTTGCAAGCTTCTACAGGTATACCTAACGTCAACACCCGTTTGCTAACTCTATCGAGGCTGTGTGACGCATATCGAATTCGGAAGCTCATGTTACATTGCTGCAGATTTATATAAAACTCCCGATTGTCCTCGCGTGGTTTTTAAGGATTAAGAATGTGTTTGGTGAACTGGTGACAAAAAAGGAAAACGCTATGATTGGAGGTGATTTTAATTTGCCATACAGGACGTACCTTTCTTGCACATACAAGTAGCGATGCTGGAAATCGCACTGAACTAGTAGATATTGTCTTTTTTAATGATTTACGTCAGGTTGTAAATAGGAATACTAATATTTGGCGACTGTGAATCAAGTTTGGGTGTCGTCTTTGCCTAGGCTGGTGCTTCTGCCGCAGTCTAGAACTGAAGCCATAGAAGGGCTTTTGGATTGGGTTGGATTTAATTACGACGGCTTAAACCCTCGCATCGGGCGATTACAATTCGTTTCACACCTCATTTGATAGCTTTGCAACGTTCCTGTAGAAATATGTTAGGGTGTTGTTTGCGAAAATGATTTGATAAAAAAAAGTGTTTTCTTTAAATTTACATGGCCTCACTTTCACCCACCAATACATGACATCAGGCAAGGTGCAGTTTCTAGATTTGAACATGTTTGTTAGAAATATCAGCCGCGCGCTCCCCTTTACTTCCGCAGACTCCAAATTGGTTAAAAAGTGGGCTGCTTAATCACTGATGAAAGCTTCATTTGACAAGTACCGCAAACACGTTATGAGCGATAGTTTTGCTATAAGGTAGGGTGTCTAAAAACTGCCAGCTATCCAGAACGTTTCCTGGAAGAAGTCAGGAATTCTTTACGTCAAAGCTCAAAAAGAAAGAGTGGCCCCAAGAAGAAGGATGAGACCGGTAGTCATCCCCTATGCGCACAGATTGTCTCACAACCTAAAAAGAGTTGCAGAACACTTTGAGGCACCTGTTTTTTTTTTTTTTTTTCTGCTCGGTACAAACTACCGGGGTTGGCTCAAAAATCAATAACAAAAAAGCGGTAAAAGTGGAATATAAAAAGAAACACGCTACACAGCTTGTTGACTGTCCCACGTCAATGGGCTACTAGATACCAATGATATCCAGAAAGGTGTACGTGGCGCAGACGGGGCGCTGCATTAACGATAGGCTGCGCAAATACGCTTTATCGATCAAAAAGTTTCCCTCGGGTTCTAAACTGTAATCTGCAGAGAAACAAATTTTTGGGAAACTTGAGAAACGAAACGGAGAGCTATTTGATGCGTACAATATAAGGTGTCTGAAATCACCAGGCTCGATCTAAAATTGACCGCAAAA